TAATAAATTATTTAAAACATTTTAATTCATTTATTTGTGATACCATAAAAATAAAAAATAATGTGATGTCACCAAAATATAACAAGGAAAAATTTTCCAAATTGTAGCAGACTAGAAGCGTTTTACGGGCCCCTCAAATTTTAGCCGCGAGCGGCATGATGCTCGTGGGTTGTGCTTTAGACAGTCCTGCCCTAAATAATCATAAGAAGAGGTGCAATGATAGTGTTACACATTATTAAAGATAACAAATATTATTAAAGAATTATAACCAGATACATACAGAGTACTTGCTCTCAATTCAGAGGATCATAGCGGATCAGTTATGGTACTTACTGAACATTTATGGATTCAATCTTGAATGCTTACGGTGAAGGTTTTCGTAATTTCAGTTAGAGATACAACCTTCAGGTTCAGTATATTAAATAAGAGCTCAGATTCTGAAGTGAGGCAGAAGTGAGAAATATTATTAATTATTGCAGAGCAAATAACGAAAATATTGAAATAAATTAAACTACATTAAACGATACTTGAGACTAAATTGAATTATTTTCAAAACACCCATGAACATTTTCGTTAAAATGATTGCTTAACTAATATTGAATTTTGGAAATGTTTGTTTTTTTTATTCAAATAGAGTGTGTTTACCTGAACTAACAAAATTCTGCTAAAATTAATTATATTAATTTCGATATAAAGCATTATTTGTTTAACTTATGTACGAATGATTTGTACTGCAAATATAATTTATTCATATTTAGTTTATTCGCTTATATATTTTATGTTATTTATTATGTTATTTAAATTTATGTAAATAATTGTTTAATGAATAAATTGCAAAACACGGCAAAGAAGAAAATGTGCTCATTAAAAAATAATCTTATTAAGTATTTTTTTAATCAAATTAGTTTATTTAAATTTGCATTATAAATTAAATTATTTTTTCGTGTTCACTCACAAAACGTTCAAATTTATATCAAATCATTGTAAGTTAATATGATTTTTAATTAGTCTCTATGAATATGCTATAAACTATTTATTTCCTTCATACTAATATCATATACTCATAAGTAGTTGATGGCATTTCAATATAGATGTTTTCTTCTGAGTTGTAACACGAATCCACAATAAATCAAGTATAGTCAAAAATGAATCGCCGAATTGTTAGAAGTTTGGATACAACACGTTTATCTAAAACTTATGAACACGCTAAGAAAAGTTTATATCTGAAAAATAACACCATTTTGTCAATCTGTTTAAAATTGAAAATACTAAATAAAACTCAAAACCTTTGTACTTTTCTTTTACAGATGAAATTGAAATTAGAACAAAGAAATATTATTCCAAAGCAAGTGTGAAATGCTCACCAATAAGGGAGCTGCAGCTGGTGTATATGGATCAGGCAATAGATACTCGGTAGCAATGGAAAGAAATGTAAACATCTTTTATGCGAAAATATACGCAATAGACAGATGCGCCATAGATAGATAGATAAAACGCAACTACCAGAACCGTAGAATTGCAATACTGACTGACAACCAAACAGCTATAATGGCACTCATATCCTACCAGGTGATATCCAAATTTGTAAGGGAGTACATTGATAAGCTGAAAATACTTGGCGGGAACAATCAGGTGCACTTAATGTGAGTTCCGATGCATGCTGGAGTCCAAGGCAATAAAATGGTAGACAAACTCGCATAAGAAGAGACGCGGCTTCAATAACAACAGATCCAAAACCATTCTGTGATTTAGGCAAAAGAACTCTATCCATGCTTTTGAACGGCGCAGAGGAAACGGCGAAGAAAAAGAACTACATTGAAAAAGACTACCAACACCATTACAATATTAAATTCTCTTATGGGCTTATAACTTTAAATGCTTCAAAGACAGCATGTAGCAAACAAAATGACCTAAGAATTATTACGGTATAACTAACCGATCAGTGTAGATTGAATAATCACCTAACAAAAACAGGAATTCAATCCAACTCAGACTGCAGATACTGTAGAGAAGAGAGAGAATCTGCATATCATATGCTAGGGGAGTGCCCGGCACTAATGTACAAACAGAAGAGACATTTTGGAAGGTGCTTCATGGCACACAAGGACTCAAGGCTAGGAAAGATAGTCACTATACTGTCTTTCATTAAAGAAATCCGACTTGGAGAAGCACTTTAATCCAAATAAAGGGCCTAATAGATCTATTAGGACTATTAGTACTATGTCCTGTTCATAATAGTAAGTGTAAAATACATTCTGTAAAATAGGTCCTCAGTTCTAGAATTAAGTCTTTGAAGTCATTTTTTGATACATATATGGTATTTGAAGGTTTCAATTTTCTAAATTAAAACGTTACCAAATGTCAAAAAATGGACTCGAAGTACTAAGCTACAACTTAGTCCTGAAAAAACGAAACAAGATCCCTTTACTAAGAAATGTAAAGCCATTTAATAAAAAATGAAACACTTTATGATACATTGTTACCTTCAAAACGTATCAATTATGTACCAGCATTAGAAAAAACTCACTCATTTGAAACTATAAGATAATTTCAGGTTGAAAATCGTGGTTACTGCCCATGTTAATGTTAATACAAATTACTTTCGTACAGAAGGGTGAAAATTTAATAATCGAAGCAATTTTATTCGAAATGAACACAAATAAACTCATATGTGGTATTAGAGTTCTTAATTTCTAAATATCCGCTATTTTGGAAATGTAGTCACGAGCATAGCTGTACAGATTAACTTTAAGAGTATAGCAGTTAGTAACGTGTTAAGTTCAATGAATTCAAACACAAAAACAGTTGTGATTAACCGAGAACTCCAAAATAGATTGACCTAGTAGATTAATATATGTATATACTATTTAGGTACCCGGGCACAATACTTCGCAAAAAACTTCTATTGCAGAGAAGGTAACTACATATGCAACTAACACTCAAATTCTTCCTCAAGAAAAAAAAAATTTTTTTTTTCCAAAATCTGCAAATGTATAATCCGAAGTTGGTTTTTAAAAAAAATATCGTTCTAAAGTTTTAATCATTTTTCAATCTTCCCCTTAAGAATAGGTAAATCTGGAATGACTAGTACAGAAGAGGTGTGAATGAACAAGAAAGAGAACTATTAAACATTCTCACTGTTACTATCCACTAAGCATCAAGAAGAAAATAATGAGGGAAGGTTAATGTTACCTGGAAGAAATTTAATGTATTGGCAACGTTTCATCGCCAAAATTACTACAATTTGTAATATCGACATAATAACTTATGAGATACATTCTGATGAATATATCTGATGAATATTTTCATACTCATAACAAGACATATCAATAAAATAGAAATAAATAGAACAGAAATGAATAATGAGAAACGATCTGACCTTAACGATGTTATTAAGACATCCTCTGCCTCTGCAGATAACTTTAAAAAAATCGAAGTTCACTAATTGCGAATACTATATAACAAGAGATTGCTAAATTTCTATGAAGTCCCGGTAGTCCTAATTACTTCTTTCTTTTGTATGATCTGAAATACCTCATGACTGATGGATGTGTGTTTCAATAATTTAATTGCCATTATTCCATGGCATTCTTTTCTGTTAAGTTGAAGTTATTTTTTTATCTATATTATAATTACAATTTTTCTGCTGTAAATATATATATATAGAGTATATGCACAAGACATATTCTCTAAATGTCTCAATATTAAATAATTTATTTTATGACATTAACTTCCTGATTATATTAAAGTTTCGCATCATCTGTTAACTTTAGTTATATTTACTGCGATTTCTATATGGGAAGAAAAAGTTTGTGCTATGTTTTCGTTATTGGAATTATATTCGCCTTGTTTTCGCTGCTCTATTATTAGCCCAAAATTTTTCTTAAATATGATTTTTTCTTTTTGCGTTTCCATGTTTTTCAATTTGTCTCTTAGTGATCGTGGTAAACTCGTGGTTAAGAACATAATCCATTTTGAAAATTGAAACGAATTTCTAAATTCTGAAGTATGATGCATCATTTCTATTCTATTGATGTTGACTTCAGCTTACAGATAGATAAGATAGCTTAACTGTTAGGTATTTTGGCCTAGAAAAACAGTAGCCCCTTTGAGTCGTGATATCAATGATGTGGTATGACTGATGTGCTTTACTTTGGGGCATGTATATATGAGTAAGCATGATAAGGAGTAGGGGATATGGATCATTTTATGTAGGATATCTACGATGTGTAAAAAATGTACATACTAAATGCTATTTTTATCAAAACAACACTAGATTAATGTAATAACTTTACTCTAGCGGAGCTTAACTACACCCATGGAGTTAACATACCCCAAACACACATGACTAGTTATGAATATAGTAGACCACTGGCAATGACAATGTATTATAGCATGTAAGAGTGGCCCCGATAAAGAATCGTCACCACTGACAATAAGTGCCAGCTTTTAAGTCTTATTATTTTATGTATATATTACTTGTATTATTGACATATTACATACGTACCTCTGGGTAGTTTCCAAACGAAAAGCGTAAGTTCAAACTTATAGAGGAATGGACTTATGACTTTTTTTAATAGAAATCCATCAAAGAAAATGTTTTTGTTAAATTTTTCAAACACATAATCACAAACAATCCCACCTTTTGCTTAAAATTTGAATTAATTTGTCTAAGTTTCACAGACTCCTCCTTGATTGATAGGGCAAATATTCGAGGCAATAGGTGAAGTGTTTCCTTGGTTAACGCTAATAATCTATATTATTAACAATAAAATTATTTTTTTTAAAAAATTAGAAAAACTGTTTCAATAATAAATTGAATATCAATTTTTTTAAATCATAAAAGCCCTCAACTTTCCACCTTCATTATATTCCCAATAATAAATTTCTACATAATTAGTTATATTTTGCTTGAATGGAATATTGATAAAGAATCCATAAATTTCATTAAGAACTTTTAATTTCAATTAATCAAAACATTAAATTTATTCCTTAAAATATTTAAGAATTTTTCCCCAACCTTTCGTAATTAATAATTTAATTAGTTTTTCATTTCTTAAGAAGGCGTTCAATGTCCATATGACTCTGAACGTTAATCAGATCACATTTTGTGAACTGTGCTAACTCAACATTGTAGGAGTTGAACATATTTCCCAATGTTTCTTGCATTGTTAGCAGAGCTAGATCGAGACCCTTGTCTAATGTTAAATTTTTTTTGTAGTTTTTCTTTAAGAATTTGTTAGCACACTCTGCTCTTGGTCCAATTGCAAAATATGTGTCGCATTTTGAAGCACCGTTTTTAGTAACACACCAGAAATCAGATTTAATTCCTACAGTTAAACCAGCTAACAGCAGAGAAACATTGCTTTTTTCTACTAAACCGTGAAAGTACAAATTCCTAGCGAAACAACGATTGGGTTCAGTGCAATCGTACTGGGAACAGGCATACTCAACCACCTTAGGAATCTCAACGTATGGTCCACTCGCAGCGCACATAAGGAATTTATCTATTTTCCAAACTTTGTTGCTTTTAGCTGAGAAGTCCGGAATACTCACACCTTTTTCGACTGCAAAAACTATGCCTACAAAAGAGAATATTTATGCATTATAGATATTTTTATTGCAGAAGCAACTAATTCACCTTCTTTAGTCAGAACTCCCACGGCATTTGTACCAATATTATATGAGACGCGCTCATAAGGAGTCTTGCAATAATTGCACCGCATTTGTATTTAGGAATATAATTTATATTACATAAAATAAAATGTGATACGGTAATCAATTATCTTCTTATAGTGTAACAAAATGCTATCAAAATATATTAATAAACTATAAAATATTACTGAAATTTGTATCAAAGGCAAAACGATCAAAATATTCGCCATGGCCAGCTATAATTTTTAAAATTCAATTTTTGTCAGAATATTGGTCACTCTTTCACAAATCGGACATCTTTTTCACCTCGTGAGCTCCGATTTGGCTGAAATCTTTTTTTTTTGCACTCCTTTTATAAAATAAAAAAACCTATATCTCGTGAAAAAATTTTGTAATTTTTTTCTTAGGAGATATGAACCTATGGGGTATTGAGAATTAGTATTGTAGACACATTTTCAAATGGCTCTATAACTGGTAAGAAAGTGAAATTTACTGAGTTTTAAAGATAATTGATTAAACTTTTAAGAAATTGTTTTCACAATTAAGATTGTTTGTATTTAAGTACCAATATTAACCATACAATTTCAAAAAAAAATTTTTCTCAAAACGTGTACTCAAAATTTTCAATTTTTATATTTTAGTAACATTTTGTTTCAAATTTCACTGCGAAATAAAAATTTTAAAGAAACAATTATTTTTGGAAATTTATAATATTTTTTTTTCTACCGCAAAACGCATCCAGCACATGCGTACTATATTTCCTTTGAATGAATTTTCAAAGAACATACTACAAATATTCTTATATAATTATTGATTTCGATTAGTAATAAAATTAAACATTAATTTCTAAAATTTCAGGACGATATTGTCATTAGAAGTACTTTTAAAAATTTACTTATCCTTCATATCACACCAAACACATACACACGATTTTTCATTAACAAAAAAAAAAAAAAGGAATATGTCACACAAATTTTTTTTTACTTTTGAGTCAAATTAATATATAAATTCTACTTAAAAAATAAATATTTGCGGTGTGATATTCCTTTCAGAAGTAATTAAAAGAAATTCAGTTATGAAGTGTCCTTCACGTTACTCATACGCACCGTGATACCATTAAATCAATTTGCGAAGAAAAACTATACAAAAATTTTTACTTTTTATTTCTAAAATTATTGTATATTAAATTATACATAAAATATAACCATTTTAAATAAGTTCCGCCTCATTTCTGTTTTTAAATTATGAATTTCAACATAATCAAACCGTTTAATAAACTTTTTTCTTATATAGATGAATTAAAAAGTTAATTAGCCGAACTACCTAGATAACTGCAACAGATAATTACACCTACCATTTTCGGTGAAGTGTTATTTTGCTACAGTTGGAAAAATACTCTGCACAGGTAAGACTGAAATATAAACATTTTTAATTGTTTAAACAATTCCATAAAAGCTCAATCAATTATCTTTGTAACGTTGTAAATATCAAGTTTCTACCTTTTATAGAACTTGAGATATAGCCATTTGAAAATGTGTCTGCAATGCCAATTCTCGAAACCGCATGTGTCCATATCTCCTAGGAAAAAAAGCACAAAATTTTTTGCCGAGATACGGGTCTTCTAATTTTATAAAAGGAGCTCATTTCAGCCAAATCGGAAATCATGAGGTCAAAAAGGTGTACAAGTTGTAAAAGAATGACCCATATACGAAGATATAAGTAAAAACGCACTATTACGAAATATATAGGGTTTCTTGACTAGGGATTTCTTTATTGAATAGAACTTTTTGGGACATTCTATATCTCAATTAGCAGTTAAAGTGAATCACTTCTTAGACAAAGTAACCCCTTCTGATATTTATGCCATGCTATTGTACATATATATATATATAAATATTTAGCGTATGTAATTTCCATGTTAACTGAAATACAAGCGTCCTTTATCTCTTAATACTTAACATACTTGTGTATTGCTAAGGATTCGCAAATTAAAATAAAGCAAAATTATTAATTCGGACAAGCATTGATCTTTTTTTTCAAACAGTCTTAAGTAGATGGTTTAAAGCAGCTCTATCCAGACCAGATAAGATCGCCGGCCTATTCAAATCACTAAATAGGTTGGAGGGTCGCAGAAATAATTTTACCGGAGAAAAATAAAAATACGGCGATAATATTAAATTTAGTTTTATTAATTCTTTAATTATTTATTTTTAACAATTTTATCATTATCAACATTATTAATATTACTTATTGCCATACGAGATATATCTTCTTTTTAATGTAATGACTTAGTGCACTGTATACGAGTTTTTTGAATCAGTTGTTCGAAGAAATATATACTAGGTAAAGTCTTTGTCACTTAAGTAAATTAACGTGAAATGTAATTGCTTGCTTAAAAAATATTAATTCATTTATTTAGAATACCATAAAAATAATATAATGTAATGTTACCAAAATATATCAGATCACAATTTGCCTGATTGTGGGTAGGTTAGAAACATATCGGGGACCGCACAAATATTAACCGTGGATCGCATGAGGCTCATTGTTTAAAATAATACTTTAGCAATCTCATGACATCTTACATGCCGGTGCTTGTGAACCTTCTTCATAATTGTAAGTACTTTTTTGGAGTACTTCAGTATATTTAAGTTTTCTGAACAAAAGTAATTACTTATTTCCTGTCGTTTGTTAGCTTCCAAACCCCATATATCTATTTCCACATTTCTGACGTACATGCAGTAAAATTGTGGTTTTGTTTTAGCATTTATTAAATTTTATTATACAATTTCATTTTAATATGATTAATAACTTATTTAATATAATTATAAATTATAAATCACGTAATTTTTTTTAATATAACAATTTGAAGGAAATATAAATCTATTTTTTTTATATGATTATTGTTTACAGTGGTTTTTTATTTACTCATATGAAAGCGTTTAATTAAATGTAAAATTTAATATAGTTTATAACTCTACATATTTTATTTAAATTTTTATTTTAATTCGCAGTAGTAATTATATGAATCACTCAATATTTTATAATTAACCACATATTTATCTTTACAACAAATTTTCCATTATTAAAAATTGTGTTCGATATGATTTTTGTAAATGAGTAGTCACATTTTAGTTATGGGATGTCAGTACATTAATTTTTATGTGGATAATTGATTACATTGAAGTGGCTGATGTTGGTTGATGAACTTCAAAGTACGTACTTTGTTCATCAGTAAAAATGAGCATATCAAGTTCAAGTGCCTGAGTTCTGATATTTCCCATGATATTTTTTAATATAATTTTTTTTTTGATTGGAAATATGCATTTGTTTACACATTTATATTGAAACCACATCAAAAAGGTACCCAAAACCAAAAAAAAAAAAATACTGCAAATATTAACCCAACTCAAATTAATTCACGTCAGATATATATTGTAATAATAATAAAAATAAAAATAAAATTTTTTAATAATTATTCCAAGAACGATTAAACTTTGTTTTTAATATCTTAATGTAAATATAACTTAATAATAATTATTGCGAACAAATATTTTTGATATCATTTAAATTCAATTCTCTACTATCTGCAAGGATATATGTATATATATTTTATAAACAAAATTTTTTTTTACTTGGTTGTAATATATATTGCCTTTAAGTGATTTTAATAATTAACCCAAATATTAACCCAACTCAAATTAATTCACGTCAGATATATATTGTAATAATAATAAAAATAAAAATAAAAATTTTTAATAATTATTCCAAGAACGATTAAACTTTGTTTTTAATATCTTAATGTAAATATAACTTAATAGTAATTATTGCGAACAAATATTTTTGATATCATTTAAATTCAATTCTCTACTATCTGCAAGGATATATGTATATATATTTCATAAACAAAATTTTTTTTACTTGGTTGTAATATATATTGCCTTTAAGTGATTTTAATAATTAACCCAAATATTAACCCAACTCAAATTAATTCACGTCAGATATATATTGTAATAATAATAAAAATAAAAATAAAAATTTTTAATAATTATTCCAAGAACGATTAAACTTTGTTTTTAATATCTTAATGTAAATATAACTTAATAGTAATTATTGCGAACAAATATTTTTGATATCATTTAAATTCAATTCTCTACTATCTGCAAGGATATATGTATATATATTTCATAAACAAAATTTTTTTTACTTGGTTGTAATATATATTGCCTTTAAGTGATTTTAATAATTAACCCAAATATTAACCCAAGTCAAATTAATTCACGTCAAATATATATTGTAATAATAATAAAAATAAAAATAAAAATTTTTAATAATTGTTCCAAGAACGATTAAACTTTGTTTTTAATATCTTAATGTAAATATAACTTAATAGTAATTATTGCGAACAAATATTTTTGATATCATTTAAATTCAATTCTCTACTATCTGCAAGGATATATGTATATATATTTCATAAACAAAATTTTTTTTACTTGGTTGTAATATATATTGCCTTTAAGTGATTTTAATAATTAACCCAAATATTAACCCAACTCAAATTAATTCACGTCAGATACATATTGTAATAATAATGAAAATAAAAATAAAAATTTTTAATAATTATTCCAAGAACGATTAAACTTTGTTTTTAATATCTTAATGTCAATATAACTTAATAATAATTATTGCGAACAAATATTTTTGATTTCTTTAAATTCAATTCTCTACTATCTGCAAGGATATGTGTATATATATTTCACAAACAAAATTTTTTTTTACTTGGTTATAATATATATTGCCTTTAAATGATTTTCAATAATTTTTTTCAGCAATTTTTTTAACGATTTTTTTCATCTCTTGTTTAAAGAAATATTTTGCATTCTTAAATGATAAACATCTTTACATCAAAGTTTATCGATAATAATTACGAAAAAATATAAAAAAGCTGGGTTTTCGAAGTTGCAAAGTCTTTGGTATTTAATAAACATATACATACAATTCGTTGTGAACAGTATTACATCACAACGCCCTCCCCCCAATACCTATACCTTTACCACGATAAATAGGATGCTAATTCTTCCATTATCCCTCTTCTCATCCACTGCTCTCGTGACCTTGATTACTACTAGAGTCTACCACTAGAACCCCCGCGCTGGC